ATGAAACCCATACCAACTGTAAACCAACTCTAAACCAGCCATGAACCAACCAAAACAACTGTAGACCAAGCCTAACCACTCTAGAACAACCCTGAAATTACCCCAAACCGCGCAACCAACCCTCAACCAGCCCCAAACCAACCCTAAACTCACCCTCAACCACCCCAAACCCACCCTAAACCCACCCGAAACCAACCCTAAACCCACCCCGACCCTCCAGTCCGACCCAACCATCCCTTCCCCTGATTTCCGATGTCTGATGTCGGCTGGTCTGAATTTGGCGTCCGTCTTCTGAAAGTCGCTTGGCTCCACCATCACTCTGAAAACAAGGCACAGTTGCCGGCTCACCTCATCCATTGCTTTGCTTTTGTCATGAAAGTAAAAAGCATCTTCATGGGGTGAGGGCAAATTCATCCGTATCCTGGAGCGACATTCACGAAAAATCAGCCATGTCCGTGGAAGAACTTGCAAAAGCGGCCTAGTCTTAGACCTCAAGCGGAAGGATGGCATCAATTGCCGGCACTGCCTCTGAGGCCAGAACTTTGGCCCAAAAGCTGGATGTCACCAGACCTCAGCGAGAGCATGCCAGGCGATCTCCGATGCGAATGCAAGGCATGTTCTCATACGCTGTCAGTGCCCAACCAATCGCAAAGAGACCAAGATGAGTCGACCGGATGCTTTGCACCAAGGTGAGTCATGCATGGGCTTCTCTTCAGGACCTGGTTTGCTGGGACATAGCCGGCGTTGGATTTGCAGTTGGAGCAATCCAAACCGCGGCGCTCGTCTGTGGGGAACAAACTGAATCACAACATCTTCTGCTTGCTTGAGGCCTCTGGAAAACATACACACATACTTTCAGTAGTCATGGGTTTCCTTTACAACCAATAAGGGGGTAAAAAAAACCTATTCTCGAGCAGGAGGAAATGGACAAGGGCGTCATGTTTCATTTCTGGTCCCGCAATGGATCAAATGCCTTCGAGCTGCCTCAAGCAACCCAAATATGTGCTACAAAACATGTGGGTTCTTGTTTTAAAAAAAATCTGTTTGTCTAAACACCCAAGGGTCTCTTGAAAAAAACAACAAAAACATGCGGCTTTTATGAACGCCCTGAGCATGCGTTGATTTCGATTGGCCTCCGAACGGGCCAAGGACATCCCAAGGCGGCAAGGGCTCTAAGCAGTGGCGCGCGGCCTGACCGGAAGCGACATGCCCTCCAATTTGAGGGGGAAAAGCTGAGCGCCTTAAGATCCTTTCAGCGTGGGCTCATAGGCCACTGTATGGGTTTTGGGTTTGTCAGAGGAGCTCCATCCCAAATGTTTGAGTCCTGTCGGCTGTGGGAGTTTGGTTTCGTCTGTTGCCCAAGTGAAGGATGTTCCATTCTGAGCCAGACAGACAAACAAACACACACACACACACAGAGAATCATACACTGGGCTTCAAACACCTGCAAATCTGTGGTGCCTACGGGAAAACACTATGTATATATATATACAATTATATTGTAATCTCTTTGATATGTTCCGCTAAAATCGTTGCATCTTTTGTTTCCTTCGCACAACCTTCAAAATCCATAGACATCCTAAAGCGCGGTAGATCATGAGTTCGGACATGTCGGCCTTTCCCCACATCAAGCCTCAACTTGTTTCAAAACTTTGAAGTCTCAAGCTGCAAATATGTTCGTATAAACATGTTGTTTCAGATTTACACACATCTACATCGGTATTGACATCTCAGGTTGTCCACTCAAAATCCCAATGTCATCCTTCCGCGGATCTGGCAATTTCGGTGGTCAAGGTGTGAGACGACTTCCTCTCGGCAAACTGTCATCTATAGATTATTTTCAGCGGGGAGCGGAGGGGGGAGGGGGCATTGAGCCAAGTATTTCCCAACTGGATATTCTAGGATCCCCAAAGACTCAATTCATCATGGGTCAAATCCCGCATTTTGCCACCACCTGTTTTCTCGCCATAGAATTGATCTCAGAATGGATTTCTCAAAAGGAAAAGGAAACGAACATGAAGAGAAGGAAGCCATCATGATGAAGGAAACCAACATCTCAGAAGCAAATGTTGAAGATGGTTCACTCCAAAAGGAACACTTCACCAGATTCGAGGCATTTCAAAGCCACAGCGCCTGGATGATCCACAATCTTGCAGGCCAAACCGTCAGCCCGCCGATTGAGTGCAACAGAAGCAAAGCCTTGGACCGGAAAAATCCCCCCCCCCCCTCCCCCGAAACGTCAGGTTCAATGATTGGTGGGAGGGTAATTCTCCTATTCCACATATGGCTTTGGCCCAACAAGCTGTACCAAAATTGCAAACCTTGACCTTAATTTCATTTTAATTTTGAGCCACACCCAAATTGCCCCTTACTTTCTCTCCCAAAGGCCCAAAGAAGGTGCTTCGCTACAACTGAAACTTTCTGCCTGGCGCGAGAGGGGCTCCAGCGATGCCGCCCGCAGGCGCGGGAGCAGCGGCCTGCGAAGGAGTGAAGGGGCGGTCTCTAGGTACAGTGCCATTCGCACTAAGCCATCTTTCCGGGCCAAACGACCAAACCTGAGTGCAGCCAACATGTTGGCGAAAAAGAAAGAAAAGAACGTGGCCAAACATAGCGCCGTTTTGGAAAAACAAAAAAACAGTGGCTTCATGTGACACCGGCCGTGCCGTAAAGGCAGCGACCTTGAAGCTCACACTCTGCGATGCTTGGCTCGGCCTGTTCCTGCGCACGGGAGGCAGCAGCTCCTCACCTGCGGAGGCTTGAGCAGCAAAAAACGCGGAGAGGGGGGGGGGTGGTTGACGTTGGAAGGAGTTAAGTGGGGATTCCCCACTAAACCAGAATAAGCAAAAATGTAAAATGTTTCCCAACAACAATGGAAACGAGTTGGTCCCTGTGAAATTCGAACGAAACGAACAGCTGCTAGCCGGTTTGGCGGGCGAACGGGCTTCATTCCCTTTGCTACGCTCGCGTTGGCCCACCTAAAAAGTTAAACAAGAAGTCCAAGCGGTATGCCAAGATTTCGACAAATCTTGTGCAATGAAACGGACACACACACACACACACAGGCACTTGCAATGCTATCCCATGCTTTCCTTGGTGACTTTGATTGACAAACCGACATGATGACGTGCATCTTCCTTGCAAGCGTGCGCACATCACAAGAAAACAAATCTCGACGTCTATCATCAAGACTAACCTTGCCCAACGTCAATAGACGGCAATGTAGCCATGCCAGCCGCATCGTCAGCACTTGACCTTGATGAACAACATACTCTTTCATGGTCGCCTTGCAACAAAACTTGTCGCCAAACTAGATGTGCATGTACGTGCCGTCAGCGCAACGTCAAGAACCGTGTTCAAAAGCTATTGTGGTTTCAATCAAACGAACTCAAGCAGCGAGGATGAGCGCGAGCCCACAACGCAATTCACACTTGCTAATTGGCCGACCCTCCAAAATCCAGCGGGTTTCTCAAGGCCTCGCGGCCCTTCGGACCAAATGCTGCACCCAAAAGTTAACAACACATGAAACGAAATACACTCTGGGTGGGTCAGCAGCCAACACACACACGCACACAAACACGCGCAAACACACGCACCCACACCCACACACACACACACCAACATATTTAGGCCCACACACCCATACACACACACATGCATGCATCCGACATGGCTATTGAATTGCACCGAACAACCAGACTTCTAGAATCCTTCGACTGGAACGTGCACATCAGCTAAAATCAGCCTTGCCTGTCAGCCTAAGGCTGCCGCCGCACAGCGCCTTCGCAAAGCCAAAGGTAGAGGTTGCCTAGAACATATGTGTTCTTTTTTGTCAAACACCGCAAATACGGGCCTCCAGGAGGCACTGGGGGCCAAAAAAAAGCCACGCACCGTCACAAACATGCGGGCAAACATGGAATCTGCAGGATCCTCGCGTGCAAACTCCGGAACCAACGATGCGCAACGTATCTGAAGGAGCGCTGAGCATCACGACTGATGCAAAAACATGGAAAGGCTTACAACGCTCTCAGCAACCAGTACCTTCGCTGCTATCATAGCTTAGCTCTTCAATGTGCATCTAGCAAACAAGGTATGACCCGGGTCAACACATGACTGAAACGTGTTGGTACATCCCTGAACAAAGTGTTGCTAGAGTCATTGGTCAAGACATGTTTGCGCCGCAAGCGTGATTCTCGTTTCTAGCAGAAAACTCAAATGCCTCCACCAAGCTACCGTACAGCACCATGGCAAGTCGAAACATGTGGCCTGATACGGCGCGGATGTCCATTGCAAACGTCAAATTGGGATCTATCATTTGTGACAGTATTGAGGTCTGAACAAACACTGAAAGAAATCGAAACACACGGCTTGTATATTACTTCCGGCACACGACACACGTGTCTATCTCTCACGCTCCCAGACGTTCTGCTCGCAAAACGCTGTTTGTACACGGCCGGTAGATGGATTGATACGGATGCGTCCTGAAGCGGACCCCTGCAAATGGCGGCAGCTTGCTATCTTGCCTTCCCTTTAACTTCCACTCGATCGCGTTTTGAGCGTTTCCCCTCAAGAATTGCTTACGCGGGCTTCTTTTCCCGTACAGCCGCCAGAACTGTTGAAGATGATGTGGATGACTGTGGGGAAGAGATGATACGGATGCTTCCTGAAGCGGACCCCTGCAAATGGCGGCAGCTTGCTATCTTGCCTTCCCTTTAACTTCCACTCGATCGCGGGGATTCAACTTTGGGAAACGCCAAATCAAACCTGCCCGCGAGCCTCGGCTCCTCTAGACCTCCAGGCGAGCACCAGACAACATAGCTCCCATTGCTTTTGAACATCCAGGCTGGGTCGGATGAGCCCTTCGTGGCAAATTGCCAAAATCCCCAGACCAACCCTCTTATTCCCAGGACCGCGATGTGTCACACGGCTTCAGCAGCACCTTACCCCGCATCTTTGCTTGGCAGGAATCCACGCACAACACTCAAACTATCGCTGCTGCTCGCTGAGCCCGGCAAGAGATCGCTGGATTTAAGACGAACTCCCAGCGTTTTCACAAGATCCCGTTTCGGCAAATCAGTCCTTTTGGCTTGCCCTGGTGGGTCCGTCATGTTTGCATAGGCAACGTTTCGTTCCCTGGTACAGACCGCGGCAACTCTTCACCTCTTTCCGCCAGCATCGGCTCAAGCTGCAACTGCCAGCGTTTAAACTTCGAAGCAAGATCGGACCAGCCAGCTGGACAGATCTGCACATCACACATGCGACCTCGTGTCTGGTGACACGTGCCATGTGAACCCCCTACCGGGTCCTCAAAAGAGTCCGAACCGTTTTTGGCGCAGCCAGCTGATCAGAAGCGGCCCAGCCATCGGGAGCTCAGGCAGGGAGACGCGGCAAGCAGCAGCCAAGCGCAAGCCGCCACGCCTTGGCGTCGGGTGATGGCTCCCTGGACTTAATTGGGGACCGAGTGAGGGCCCCCTGCAACAATTTGCGGAGTTCATTGAGAAAACCCACTCAAATCATTTGCGATTCAGCAGTCCCCTTCAAGGAGAGCATGGGTAAAGACAACTTTGCTGTATCAGGTCTTCTGTCAGAAGGGGAGAACCAGTCATGCTTGGAAAGCTGTGTGCGATCTTTGATGTGTTTGGTGCCTTCTGATTATTCGATGGTGATCATTGAAGCAAATCCCACTCCAAAACAAGAAACCATCAGTGCCACAGCATGGGAACACATTTTGCCTTGGCGATGTGAGCAGGGTGTTGGGAATGAACCTAGGGATCCGCTTAGAGGACACCATAGGGGATGGTTTATAGAGGTCATTCCAACTCATTCGCTGCCCATCAAACCATCAAGGTAACAGGCCGTGTGCCTGGACTTGCTCAAGAGATGCCGCAGCCCAGATCCCCGGATCTAAGCAAAGGTGGTACAAGGCAATACAAGAACCGAAGGGGAAAGTCGGCACTGTTCCCTCTAGTCGGGCTTGCACCATTCCCATGCAACAAATTTCACCAAACTTTCTTCCGGCCGAGTAGCCAATTACTGCGTCGAAGCCCAGGTACACTCGAGGGTGTGCCTCCTGCGCAGTTCAGTAACTCCATCATTACACATTAGAGATATTGTTTGCTCTTCCACACATGTTAGCCTGGGGCTCGAACGAACTTGGCGACATAAATGCGACCATTCTTGCTCAATCTCGGGGTCCTAGAAGCTTGACTTCACTTCTCTCAACGCACCAGGAAGCAATCAACTCAGCTGTCCTTCATGTAGACAACATGCCGACATGCCAACAGAACCCGCACTAGTTCAGTTTCAACAGCAGTTTGTCTCCTACGCCCTACTTACAATCACTCGACGTGCAAACAAACAGTTCAACGTCGGTGGGCTGCGTTTGCTCTCCAAGTCTGTCTCCAATGGGCCAGAAGGGGTGGGTTCACCCCACGGGCACCCTTAAAGAACGAGGACCCTCCTGGGCCGGATATCTGGGCACATTGAAGGAGACCACGCCGCTGCTTTGAGGCGCCTCATAGATCACAGACCTGCGGTTTCTGCGAAAACAACTGCGAGGCACGGCAGTGTGACACCCCTGGAGGCAGTTGTTTGTGGGTGGACACGGTGGAGACCATCTTAGAAGGCATCAGACATCAATGCAACATATGCTCAGAAAGCGCTTTTGGCTCTCCAGCTTCCTCTTCAAGGCCTATCGTCCGATGTCTTTGTAACAGTTGAGATGCAGAAACTGCAACGTGCGCATAGCAGTTCACAAGTTCCATTTGTTCGGGGTGCTCAATAGGGAAAGACCTTCCGGGTTGCGAGAATGAACCGGATTCCCTTTGAAGGAAGCCATGGGGGATGGTGTTTCTCGGGGTCCTTCCATTCCCTGCCTGACCAGCAAGCCTTCTTCGGGGTGCAACTGATTCTCTAGGCAAGAGTCCCAAAGGGATCGATGGCACCGGTGTAGCCATCCTCTGTGCACTTGATGAGCGTCTGACCGTTCTCCAAGGCGGCATACCTCAAGCGGAAGCCAGCGGGGACCCGGGGGACCGGGAAACCTGGGCACTCGACGAGCGCACGGCACGAAAGTCCAACTGCGCCTAAAAAATCATGCCTGGCAAGGCTTCCCACTATTCTCCAATCAGGCTTTCACAAAAACAAAAGTGGAAACTCAAAGCGCGAGTCCATCTGGGCTGTTCAAAGTGGAGGGTTGGCCAATCCGATCTTCCATAGGGAAGCCACTACCAAGGAAAAATATTTGAGTACCCCAAGGCAAGGATTACATGTGTATGGGTTAAAATGAACCACCAGGGGACTGCAAGTTTTAGGCCTTTCCATTCACCAGGGTTCCAATTTGGGGTCACCCGATTTTTGACCCACAGCCACATTGTGAACAGCCACGGCTTGCCCCATGTCCCCCTCTGACCTCTGGCTAGCTGCTTGTGCCCATGCAGGTGCTCTCGACCTGGCGAGAAGCCCGACTTGGAAGGCCAAAGAAGGATGCCAAAAAGTTACCAACAAAAACGGCGGGTTTGGTGTTTATAATAAAATACCCAACGTTTTGCGTTCTTCTTTAAAAATAAAAAACACAAAAAACAACACAATGGTTGTTTGTTTTGAAAGAAAACAACAACACACAATGCATGTCGGCTTTGAAGCAGTGAGTTACCGGCATAGCACCTATGGAGCTTTTGCTGACTGACTGACCGTTGCAGGTTCTCCAACACTTCCAGGAATCTTGGTCCACATCCTCCGGCAAAGGAACGCTATGCTATCGGGCAAGTGAGCCACTGAGTCACTAGCCAGGTGCGGAGAGGGAGTCAACCCCACATGTCGAGAACCGTGGCAGCTTTTTGCTATTGTTGGGGACCTCCCATACTGATGCGTTTTGCCGTGGGCTACTTGCTTTGGGGCGCCAAGTTGCGGCTTTGCTACCTCCCGCGAAGGGTGAACTCAATCGATTGGCAGGCCGCTCGGCCAAAGGCTCGCTCCCCTTATAGGGGTATCAGCAGCACATAGCCCTTTCATACCCGCTTTGTGCTTACGCCTCTGCCCAAAAAGGCTTTGGCGACCAAGGAAACAAGGGTATGAGCAAGAGGGCATGGGTATGCGTCATGTTGAATCCCCAAACATGTTGCCATAAGCCGACCTGAAACAAGCATCCTCACAAACACAAACAAACCCACACACACACACACGGCCAAAATGTACTTCCACGCATAGATCCGCGCCTATGTTGCTCCAGGTGGCGCTGCTTTCCAGCAGAAGAGAGGCCGAGCCCAGCTGGCGCGTGAGCCAGGGGAAGTCGGTGTCGAAGCAAATCGAGCCCGTCCTTAGGCGCATGGCCAAGCTGAAGAGAAATGAGACCAGGGGAAGTTTTGGAAAGCAAGGAGAAACATGAAAAGACACACACTATGGGAAACCACGAAACTGTCGCAGGAAATCATGGACTCCGTAGGCAACACTTATACTTGGACGCATATACTCTGCAGACTGGCTTTGTTCAAGAAGCGCCGTTGTGTTCCTACAAGCATGGTCACCGCAAAATGCTAGGCTGAAGGGCCACACTCCCCCAGTTTGTTGCCACAGACGACCTCCGAAAACGGCCGCTACCAAGCCCTGTGCATCAATCGAACCCGAGCGGGGCACCGCCGTCTCGCTTCCTTTGCCGGGCGACACCTTCAGCGGGAGCCCCCCGAGAGACACCTCCGCCACGGAGGGCGGACGGTCGCCCGGCAGAATGTCCGTCTCGACCAACGGCACCTCCGCGCACGCAGCGAGTTCACGGGAGTCAAATCAGAAAGTAAGAGGTTCACCGCATGGTTTGGGGAACCACCAGTGCCCACGGCAAAGGTGTTAAGGTGAAGAAAACAAAACATTTGAATGCCCGTCTTGGCAAGGTGCCACTAGGCAATCAAAATCCAGAAACCAATGGATCAAAGATCATAACAACTGGGTCAACAACAGCTCAGATATCCTACTCAATGCTTTGACATGCTGGCCAGTGCTTTGACAGTTTTCATCTTAGCCAGCCAGTGTTTGCGCAGAACACCATTGTGCCCAACCCTGGATATCAATTCTGTCCAATCATGGCCACGACAACGCATCTTTCGCACGTTTCAGCCCTGAAAAGCGACTGAGGTCAACCAAAGATGCAAATGGGTCTCGTCATGTCTGCAGTCGTTACCTGCGACTGCACGCAATCACCGATCTCAACGCTGTCGAACCCCGTTTCTCGTTCTTCCCAGACCAGCAGGCTGCCAGGAATGATTAGATCTTTCCTATCTTGACCCTGAGCTTGCTTGCCTATAACAACTTTTGATTAGGAACCCCCTCAAAATTGTTGGTGGACACAAATCCCGAGCTGAGTGATTTATGTAACATATTTCGGGATGATGCAAAAGTAAAGAAAAAAACGGATTCCAGGGTTGCCTGGGCTCAGGCTGTGACCAAGGTCTCCCTGCAACCACTCCCCCTTCCTTGGGCTGAGAATGCGACGTGGGAATGCAATGCACTGGCGTTTTATGGGAGTAAGCTGGCTGCTTGCCTTAACAAAACCGGCCCACGTTTCACGAAGGACGTGTTCGGTTCCTCGTTCCCCCGCCCTTTGCGCCGGGTGGTTCTTCGCGTAGCTCATCTGCGAGCCGTTCCGGGACACCAGGTGGTACCAAGACCTGCACAGGGAGGCTCGCCCTGAGAGGGAGCCGCCCACCATGCAAGCGGCTTGCCTACGGCGCTTGCAAACGCAAGCTCTTCACGTCTCAGTCGGTTTCTGGAAGCCTGCTGAACCAATGATCCCTCGGTTTT